TTAGTATTCTCGGATCTGCCGGTTTCAATTCCAATCTCCGAACATTTTTGGGAGAAATTATAGTAAATATTTCACTTATAACAAAACAAACAAGCTCGAGTAAAGTAGCAAGTATGGTAATACGTTGATCTGGAAATAAGCTTAACATAACCTTGACATCATTCTACGAATAATATACTTCTATTAGCTAATTAAAAAAAAGAAAAAACAGAATCGCTAAAGTAAAATACATTCTCAATCTATCTTCACGTTTCAACGAGAATAAAACTGTTGCGAACAGATTCGAAGTAGCTTCCTACACCGAGTTTAATATACGTTACTCCAAACAACCTCGCCCCCTCCCCTTGTTCCCTTATCGCGATCGCCTTTCGGGTTTCACCCCGTAAATTTCGTCGCCATATTATCCATCATTCCCAGAATCGTTCACGCCGAAACTCTACCCTGTGAATGTCCTCCATTTTCTCCTTGACGTTGTCCTTGAACTTGTCGAACAGATCCTGATGCCTGACGTCCTTGGCCTCGACGGCGCCGTTCTCCTTCGCCGCCGCGTTCTCCTCCTTCTGCGTAGCGGCCGGCGACGAGTTCTCGGACCTCTTCAGCTTCGAGATCAGGTGCACAGCATCGAATCCCGACTTTATCGAGCTGGTCGTTCTCCCCTTCCTCAGATTCTCGATCCTGCTGTCGATCCTCGGCTCCTCGCTCCCTTGGGCCGTGTACTTCACCTCGTAGCTCGGCTCGATCCTCGATCTGTCGGGCTTCTCGGCACCGTTGCGCCGATCGGGGAGCCTCGGAGCATTGTTGTCCGAATGCTTGCAATGCTCGGCGATCCAGGACTCGATCGGCAGCAGCCACGGGTGCTTCTCCACGTTCTCCTCGAGGATCCTCTCCACGTGGTCCTCCAGCATCCTCTCCACGGAGCCCATCTTCCGCTCCAGAGAGGACCTCAGCGTCCCGATCTTTTCCTTCAGCTTCTGCCTCTCCGGCGTCCCCGGTTTCGGGCTGGCGGCCCTCTCGGGGTCCTTCGTCGGCAGATCCTCCAAAGAGCTCCAGCGCCTCGAGGAAAAGTCTAAGCCCTTCGAACGATCGACCCCCGCCCTCTCGCTCCGAGTCTTCCCCTCCCCGTCCCTCGGCGAACAGCCCAAAGCGCTCTCGCAATCGGCCGCCGAGCTTTCGCGATTCTTCTCTCCCCCACTCCTTTCCTCCCGACGCCGTGTAACACCCTCCACCGTCGCGTTCCTCGCGCTATCTCGAGCGGCCGCTCCGCCGTCGACCGAATCGCGCTCGTCTATCGCTATCTCCTTCGATCTCGTCTCCTCGGAGGCGACGCCCTCCGCGCCGATCGCTTCCAAGCAGCCCAGATCCTTGTTAGAAGGCTGCGGATCGTCTAGATCGAAGCGCAGGTCGCTGATCGCCTTGCGGAAAATGGCGTCCGCCTCGGCGTTCGCCTCTTCCGATTGCTTCATCGGCGCGCTCTCGTCGGCTTTTTGCTTGAACAGCTCGCCCCGGGACTCCCAGAACTTCTTCCGACGATTCTCCGTACTCTCCTCGACCGTGACCACCTTGTACGAGCGACAGGATCGGTAGGATTCACTCTCAAGGTCGACGGAAACCTCGGCGGCTACCATCTCGCCGACCTTGCGCTTTTGGAACAGCCGGATCGGCGGCTTCGGGACGTCTTGCTGGTCCGGGAGAGCCTTCGGCTCGATCGATGGATCGCTGGATCCGAGCTCAGGTGGTCCTTTTGTTCCTGCATCGTCCATTTTTGAAGCGCCGTTCGCGGATTCGACGTCGGCTCCTTCCGGCGCTGGTCGATCGCGGTGTTCTCGGGGCTCGTTCATCGTTACGATACGATACCAAAGTCGAAATCAAGGCACTGTGACGTTGTTCTCATCGTAGATACACTACGCCGACACCTGGTCCCCACCTGATCGCTATGTTGCGCAAGTAATAAGTGACTTCTTCCTGGAGAGACCAGACGCTGGCTCGATTAGGATGACGCGCGGCTCCATGACTGCGTGGTTTTGTCTAGACCGAGACAATGGGACTGTGTCTCTTTGGCGGCTTTCGTTCTTGTCGAAAGACAATGGAGTCCTGTTTCGTGGGTCCTTGAATTTTTCTTTGAACGTCTTCGGGATATTTGTCTGATGCTGCGGAAAGATCGGAGATGCTCGGAATGCTTTTGATTTGGGTGAGATATTTAATTTCGTGTTCGTTGCAGACGGATTTTTAGCAATATGATAGAATATTGAATTTTAGTTGAATAGTGTTTCGAATAAAATTCGTGAATAAAATTTTGTTTGGGTTATATTGAATAATTTGCTCGAATGAAATTTTATTCGAATAATATGTTGAGTAAAATCCTCGAATGAAGTTGTGTTCGAATAATAATATCAAATAAAATTCTCGAATAAAATTTTATTCAAGTAATATATTCAATAAAATCCTCGAATAAAATTGTATTCGAATAATATATTGAATGAAATCCTCGAATAAAATTGTATTCTAATAATATATTGAATAAAATCCCCGAATAAAATTGTATTCGAATAATATGTTGAGTAAAATCCTTGAATGAAGTTGTGTTCGAATAATATATTGAATAAAATCCTCGAATAAAATTTTATTCGAATAATAATATCGAATAAAATCCTCGTATAAAATTTTATTCGAATATTAATATCAAATAAATCCTCGAATAAAATTGTATTCGAAATAATAATATCGAATAAATATCCTCGAATAAAATTTTATTCGAATAATAATATCGAGTAGATCCTCGAGTAAAATTTTATTCGAATAATAATATCGGATAAATTCGTCGAATAAAATTTTATTCGAATAACAATATCGAATAAATTCTTCGAATAAAAATCATATTTCAAAAATATCTCATTACAAAAATTATTATTGAAATCTTGTTGCAAAAATATCTCATTACAAAAATTTAGTATTGAAATCTTCTTCCAAAAATATCTCATTAAAAAAATCTATTATTGGAATCTTGTTTCAAAACACATTATCTTGTTAGGAAGACGATTATCGAATCACATCTCCAAAAGATCCTTGGGAGAGATAACCAATCCAATTTAGCGCGTTTGCCGGCCATGGTGCGAATCAGAAGACAAATGAAACAATCGAGTCCGATGTAGCGCAATATTTGACCTATCAACGAGTCAATCAATATCGTTTACAGAATTTACTGTGTTGGCTGTGGCAATAGTTGCTGCCGCAACACTTCATAATGATTTATATCTATACATGTACATTATACATATACATATATGTATATGATTTAGCTATGTCAAATTTCTGCAAGTTTGTTTCATGCGTGAGCGACCGCATTTTACCAATAATGTTAGCTCACGTGTTCAAAAAGTTCAAAAAGTACGAAATAACAAATAAATTAATTATGACGGCCTCTTGATTATTCTCTCTCCACATATTACGTCAATTAATCTTCTCAGACGACTATTATTTATTTTGACACTTCCACGACCGCACTAGAGACCTCAAAAATTGTCATAAAATTAAAATATTTCATTCTATCGAACAAAAATTACTAAGCAAACTTATATGGCATCAATTACTTCTTTAGCATTTCGTACCTCATGCAGATCTTAATAAAATTAAGCAATCGATTTTAATTTTTCATTAATCATCCATTCGGTCGTCAATCGACTGAATTTAAATCTTTTAGTGCCGGAGGCTGATATATCAGCCCGCACCTTGTAGCGTTATAAATAAATAAATAAATACGTTATAAATAGTCTAATTTCATTACGAGAGAAAAATTAGCGTCACTGTTTTATTCTCTATTTTGTCCTTAATACACTCCTGTTTGAATTATGTAAAATATTGTTTTTCATTTGGTTTTTATGAGCCTTTTTACAAATCCTAGTGAAATCGTAAAATTCGACCGGTTATCTTCGCATAAGCACCTCTTTTTCGCTCGGCACTAAAAGGGTTAAAACGGGGAGATCTCCCTATTCGGTTGGCTAAGTGTTAACATTTCGACTATCTTTAAGTCGAAATAAAACGCTACTGGAGCAACAAAAATTCTGACCGCTTCATTCACTCTCTAGAATTTCATTCGAACCACTTTCTTCGCAATTTACAGTCATTTTGGACACTGCACTATCCCTAGAATTATTAAATAATAGAAACTAACGTGTTTCTAATTTCCTACCGAAATTACAAAACCTATTAACACGTTCAGCGCCACATCGGTCAAATATGGGTGACACTAATTTTTGACCAACTGAAAATTCATTTTCATTGTAATATATTCGAACAAACTGAATTTGACTAGAATGTTTCGGATGCGAAAGAGTTCTAATATCATCCACTATGATAAATTTTAACTTTCTAGTTACGATTTGATTAATTAAATTGCTTTGATTTTGTAGGAATTTTAGTGGTCGATTGTGGCCACTGAATATGTTAAACCTAGGAAGAAAATATAGAAGAATGAGACCGAAGAAAAAGAATTAACTCATGTAAATTAACTCATTAGTGATTGATTTCCTACGGAAGAGTCTGCACAAATAGCGCGATTGCAGAAGGAAAAATCGTCAAGAAATTATTTCCACTCGTCTGTACGACAGTTTAGCACCGAAAGAATTATTCTCGAGTCTATGAGAGCCACTATTGCACGCGATCTCGCAATCTAAGCTTCCGAAGAACGTTCTCTTTGGTATCACATCGGTTTTCAGTTCCCGCAGTTAATTCGCGGACGCGTTAAAATCACGGGATTAACCGTGATCTTGGCACTGGTCCAAGCCATGAAAGAAATTACCTAGAGCGCGTCGATGGACACGTGGTTCGCGGTTATGCACAAATTAAGCGGCCACTTGGCGGCCGGCCGTGAGTCATCGAGGCGTCGCGTCGCGCCGCGCACGTTGCCGGACTTCGCTCGGTTTTCCTGTTTTCCTTGTCCTTCAGTGTTTTTTTTTCCCCCGTCTCGATGCCGACACGCGGCCAAAACAAAACGCTCCCGTCGCGAGTCGAGAAACTAAAAATACGCGTACGCTTATCAACGTTCCGAACGCGGCTTTATGCGACGCGCCGGCGATATTTTTCTTAGGAACGTGGACACTTCTAGCATTAACGGACACGCGAAAAATTCCGTGTTCGTTTATTAACAACGGACTCGAAGTGCACGCTTGCCGACACCAGATAAGAAACGCGCGACACGGACGCATATACAGGATGTCCCAAAAATGTCTCGCAATCCAGAAATGACGGGTTCCTCGGATCATTTGAAGCAACTTCTTCCTTTACAAAAATTTTCCCCGAGGCACTGTTAACGAGTTATCAACGAAAAACAGTGACCAATAAGACTCGAGTACGGCTGACGCGAGGCGGCCCAGCCAACCGGCGCGCGAAGCCCAGTTCTTCTCATTGGCTCGGTCGCCTCGCGCCAGCCGAGCTCGCCTCTCATTGGCCACAGTTTTTCGTTAATAACTCGTTAACGGTGCCTCGGAGAAAATTTTTGTAAAGGAAAAAGTTGCTTCGAATGATCCGAGGAACCCGCAATTTCCGGATTGCGAGACATTTTTGGGACACCCTGTATTCACCGGGTGAAGTCAAGCTTCTTAACATATTATTTTGACAGATCAAAATTTCTACTCTGTCTACGAAGATAATTATTTTCTCGTTTTTATAATTTTTCTAGTTTTTTAGTCTTATTTTATTTCTGTATTTTTGTTTGTCTTTTTTCCATTTATTTTTCTCTTTACTTTTTTATCTCTATCGTTTTCTTTATTCGTCGTACGCACCAGATAACACGGTATTGCGACGTAAACAATGCTCCACTGTAATATTCATGTATGCGCTTCATTATAATATGTTCTTTTAATTTGATAACGCGGTTATTTATTACTCAAATGTTAACGAATATGAAAAGTTTCGCGACGTTTGTCCGCAAGCGTGTGTGCGTATCTGCACTTTATGAATTATGGTTGGACTTTATGCATTCATGGAAAAAAATTAAGAAGCGATACCTAAAACAGCAGAATGGTTAAAAAAATTTCAGGAGCATTTACAAATAATTTTTAACTTCTAAAAAATTTGGTTTTCCCTGCCTTGCAATCGTGACAGCAATTTTTCATTTCATTCGAGTTCAATTTATTGTACTTTTTGTTAGAGTTTAAGCTTTTTGTATTTCATTTGAGTTTAATTTATAGTACTTTATTTGCGTTTAATTTATTATTTATTGTATCTTATTTATGTTTAACTTATTGTATTTTATTCGAGATCAATTTATCGTATTTTATCCGAGTTTAATTTATCCTGTTTTATTTACGTTTAATTTATTGCATTTCCCCCGAGTTTAATTTACTGTATTCTATTCTATGCTATTTTAATTTCCTGTTTTATTTTATCTACTTCATTTCACTGCATGCTATGTGATAGGTATACAGGATGTCCCGAAAATGTCTCGCAATCTGGGAGAGGATGATTCCTGGGGTGATTTGAAGCAACTTTTTCCTTTGCGAAAGTGCGTTGGGCTGGTTAGATCTGTTTCACGAAAAATTCGTAAATGTGGTGAACGCGTTACGATGATGACATTCGTGGAAATTACGAAATGTCGTGGGATATTCGAAAGGAGGCGATGCCTCTGACGAAATGAGAAAGTGTGCCGTGGTCTGATGAAATATCAAAATGAAAGGTTGGATCGTGTTCAAAATAAGAATCGGGCAAGATCGGGAAGATTAATTCTCGTGTGGCAGGATCCATTTTGTACCGAAGTTGGAGACGCGCATAACAATGAATTTTATTGACTGATTGCGAGTGGTCCATCTCTTTATACATACAGGGTGTCCCAAAAATGTCTCGTAATCCGGAAATGGGAGGTTCCTGGGGTTATTTGAAGCAACTTCTTCCTTAGCGAAAATGCAATCCGCGGCTTCGTTTACGAGTCATCAACGAAAAACGGTGACCAATGAAACGCGAGATCAGTTGGCGCGTGACGGTCGAGCCAATGAGCGGAACCGAGCTCCGTGCGCTCGTTGGTCGGGCTGTCGCGCGCCAGCCGAGCTCGCCTCTCCTTGGCCACACGGTTTTTCGTTGATAATTCGTAAACGATGCGTCGGAGAAAATTTTTGTAAAGGGAAAAGTTGCTTCAAATGACCCAAGGAACTCTTCAGTTCCCGATTGCAAGCGTTTTTCGGATATTAATAATTGGAATAACTTCGTAAAACTGTGTTCCAGTGAAATTATCAGAAATACTCCGCGTACAATGCGTCAAGCTCGATTCAAGAAAAAATTCAACGAGGGAAATCGGATTTTATGCGATTCGGCTCGTCATGGATAAGCCGTGGGAATCGAACTGGCATTATTATTTCCTGAATATTCGGCTGAATATTCAGCATCGCGCGTACGTTATTCTTCTCTCCGAGCTGGTGCCGCCTCCGCGTAATGTTAGTATTTACTTGTCTTTTAACTGAACCCACCGCGGTCGTTTATCGCAAATTGGCTCGTTCAAGCGGTCGGTGTACGGCAATCGTTGACATAGTTGACGAGTGTGTTCACTCGAGACAATTGGAGTTACGTGAGCGTATAGAGCCACGCGAATTGTACTTTATTACGGCACGATGATTGCCGTTATCGGTCGAAGAATAACGTTCGTCGACAACGCGGCTCTTGTTCCGGGAACGGAACCGCCGAGCAATTCGACGAGATCAACAGTTTCGCGTTTAGAAATATCACGAGGTATTTCTCGATACGTTTTGCTCGCTTGTTCGACCAACCATGAATTTTGAACATCGCCCTGCGGCCACGACCGAACGTATCATATCCGCATCTATCGCGTAACTCGCTCCAGATTTTTTGCTCTATAATTGCTGGGCTTACCGAGATCTGAATAAATTACATGCTCGCCGCTTGTCGGCGAGACAGGTTTAATCGGTCACCTTAATTTTATATGGAAATAAAATTGCAACGCGGTAATTGCAAAACGACTGCTATTTTTTTTTATTTAGAACTGCCAAACCAGTCGATATGACTGGTTTCCGAGTTTTTTTTCACATTCACTGAGGTCATAAAAATCTTTTTGCGAGAAATGTTTTTACAAACTTTTTCATCGAAGCATAATATTATATAATAATATGTATAATATATTATATAATAATATAATATAATATAATAATTATATTATTATATAATAATATACTATAATATAATAATTATATTATTATATAATAAATCGTACAAAGCTCGAATAAATCCAACCTTGTTGTTGTTATAAAACAATGCATCAGGTTGTGTAATAAGTCTGTTCGCGGATCTCTGACACCTGGGTAAAGACAAGAAAAATTACACGAATTCAAAGTGATAACTCGCATGAATTTTGAGATACGTTCTCGAGGGGCTATTTCCATGCGACTTAGCTTAAACGAAAGCTGGAAGTGTCTACTTTAATACAGGGTGGATCCGATTGCAGCGGAATGACGCGATCACTTTGAGAAATTAAAATGAATCGACCCCTGACATCGTGAGATATACAAGACTTAAAAGCAGGAGTTCAGATGGATTTTAAGATACGTTTCCGTAGAGAAATTTTGGTGTAATTTAGCTTAAATTAAATCCAGAAGTGTCTACTTTAAGACAGAGTAGATTATATTGCAATGGAATGACGAGATCATTATGGGAAATTAAAATGAATCGATCCCTGACATCGTGGGATTTATATAAGATTTGAAAGGAGAAGTTCGAATGAATTTTAAAATACGTTCCCGTAGAGTTATTTCTATGCAATTTAGCTTGAATGACAGCTGGAAGTGTCTACTTTAAGACAGATTAGATTAGATTTCAACGGAATGACGAGATCATCTCGAGAAATTAAAATGAATCGCTCTATGACATCATGGAGTTTACAAGATTTGAAGGAGAAGATCAGATACATTTAAAAATACATTCTCGTAGAGTTATTTCTATGCAATTTAGCTTAAATAACAGCTGAAAGTGTCTACTTTAATACAGAGTAGATTAAATTGCAACGGAATGACGAGATCATTTCGAGAAATTAAAATGAATCGACCCCTGACATCATGGAATTGACAAGACCTAAAAGAAGAAGTTCGGATGAATTTTAAGACACGTTCCCGAAGAGTTATTTCTATGCAATTTAGCTTGAATGACAGCTGGAAGTGTCTACTTTAAGACAGATTAGATTAGATTTCAACGGAATGACGAGATCATCTCGAGAAATTAAAATGAATCGCTCTATGACATCATGGAGTTTACAAGATTTGAAGGAGAAGATCAGATAGATTTAAAAATACGTTCTCGTAGAGTTATTTCTATGCAATTTAGCTTAAATAACAGCTGGAAGTGTCTACTTTAATACAGAGTAGATTAAATTGCAACGGAATGACGAGATCATTTCGAGAAATTAAAATGAATCGACCCCTGACATCATGGAATTGACAAGACCTAAAAGAAGAAGTTCGGATGAATTTTAAGACACGTTCCCGAAGAGTTATTTCTATGCAATTTAGCTTGAATGACAGCTGGAAGTGTCTACTTTAATACAGAGTAGATTAAATTGCAACGGAATGACGAGATCATTTCGAGAAATTAAAATGAATCGCTCTATGACATCATGGAGTTTACAAGATTTGAAGGAGAAGATCAGATAGATTTAAAAATACGTTCTCGTAGAGTTATTTCTATGCAATTTAGCTTAAATAACAGCTGGAAGTGTCTACTTTAATACAGAGTAGATTAAATTGCAACGGAATGACGAGATCATTTCGAGAAATTAAAATGAATCGACCCCTGACATCATGGAATTGACAAGACCTAAAAGAAGAAGTTCGGATGAATTTTAAGACACGTTTCCGTAGAGTTATTTCTATGCAATTTAACTTAAATGAAAGCCAGAAGTGTCTACTTTAAATACAGGGTAGATTAGGCTGAAATTGTCCAACAAGTCCGTTCGCGTCGACGAGTGACAAGAAAACGCTATAGGACCTGACAGTTCTAGTCTGAATGCTAATAGAATGGCATGAGTCATCAAACACGAACTTATCCGAGCTATCGGGATCCACTGTGTTCAAACACGATAATTTATAAGCAACAATGAAACGATATCACGCGTCTCCGTATCGTCTGAATTAGCCGATCTCCGATTCACAAACGCGATTCAACCGAATCGCCGTTATCGTCGAAATTACTGCCGTCGTAACTGCGAAAGAAATCCCATATGTTCCATTAACCGTCCCATAATGTCCGAAATTAACCGTTGTCGCGCGAACGACCATAATTAATATTGTACCTAGCATATTTCCGGTGGCGGTAATTTCGCGTTGGACACAACCAAAGCCGAGTTAATTGAATCAATTTACGGGTCGCGAACTCAATAGAAATTCCTCCGTTACGCACGCCAACGTTCTACGAAATATTCGCAAACGGTGCCACCAGTAGATCCAATTCAATATCGCACGGTCGCGGAAACCGCGCTAAAAATCAACCGAATCGAAGGACAAGGTCATAAATAAAATATCCGCGCACGCTCGCTCGACTTCGACGGACCGTCCGAAAAAAAAGGTTCCCCGAAATTCAGAGATACATAAATACGAGACGCCACTATTCGCCGAAGTTCAGCTGACGCGTATCTTCTTCCACGGAACAGGAAAACGAAACTGCTACAAAAATATTCTCTAAAATTCTATATATGACTAATTCTACGCTATATACTGATTTTTAATATTTTATACTAATATTATTACTTTTATATAATTAATATTAAATAATGTATTAGATATCACTGAAGTTCAGATGAAACGAATACTTTTTCTTCAGCGAGTAGCAGTGAGAATGATCCGTAAAAAGATAAGAAATATTACTAAAATAATATATATACATAAAACTCCGTGATAGATTCTACGCCACTGTTCGCCGAAGTTCAGACGAAACGAACACTTTTTCTTCAGCGAGTAGCAGCGAGAATGGTCCGCAGAAAGATAAGAAATGTTATTAAAATAATATATATACATAAAACTTCGTGATAGATTCTACGCCACTGTTCACCGAAGTTCAGACGAAACGGACACTTTCTCTTCAGCGAGTAGCAGCGAGAATGATCCGTAAAAAGATAAGAAATATTATTAAAATAATATATACATATAAAACTCCGTGATAGATTCTACGCCACTGTTCACTGAAGCAACGCGAACACTTTTCCCGTGGAGCAACGGAACATGCGCAACGGAACGCGCACCGAAAATCTCTAAAATCCCACGATAAATTCTACGTCACTGTATACCGATATTTGGCCGCACTGTTCACTTTTTTGTACCGGTCAGCAATGGCGAAGCGGCGCGAGCACCGCGTACAGGCCCCCGCTTTCGGTGGATCACGCGGCGGAACGCGCGACGGGAACGTTTCCGCGGCAATTGACGCGCGTCACGGACAAAAACAGCGTAGAGGACCGAGGCGAACCGAGGCGAACCGACAAGAGCGAACAAACCGTTCCTGCTCGGCGATCGCCGGTGACTGGTTAACGATGTGGATACACGGAACGAGACACGGTGGGACCATCATGCTCGCGAGCCTTGGTCCCCTCCTCTCCGTTCACTGCGAGAGGTAAACATTGGGATATCGCGGCTCACGTTCACGGGTTTGTTATTGCTGCCCGCATAACCTCCGCATACAGTAGTCCGGATTTGGATAATCTGACATTTTCGCGTGACGGACATCGTTTCTGTGTTCTTTTCGAACTTGCAGCGCCTCGTCGACTGGCTTGGGGAAACACGCGGTTACGAAATTGAGAACGTGATAACTTTTTTAAAAGTGGACCAAGTGAGTTGAACTTTTTTTAGGTTATAGCGGGACTAGTCTACTGAAAGATGACTACAATGCTTTTTTTTACATTTTACTGTTATTTGGGATGACAAAAAAAGGATAAGAAACTATCGTTTTGGGAAACACGCGGTTACGAAATTGGGCGTACACCGTTTGAAACGCGATAACTTTTTTAAAAGTGGACCGAGTGAGTTGAACTTTTTTTAGGTTATAGCGGGACTAGTCTACTGAAGGTTGACTACAATGCTTTTTTACATTTTGCTGTTACTTGGAGTGCCAAAAAAAGGTAAGAAACTATCGTTTTTAAACGTATGAACCTGTTTATCTCGAAAATCGTTAGTTTAAGAAATATCTTAATGTTAATGTTGCTATTGTTGTACGTTATTATTATAATATTATTATTATTACAAGTCTTAACGATGCAGAAAGTGTCGTACAATGTAAATAGTTATCACACTGAATTTATGATACTGTATTATTAATATTTGTGTTATATTCTATTCTATTATACAACACGATTTCTTAATAACATTAACGCATCTCCTAAACGAATTTTTTTTTTTAATGTAAATAGCTTCGGCAAGATACACGAGGTGTAACAAGATTGCAATAATTCTTTTTAAAAAGTAATTCTTATAGTTATATTGCAAATGTAATTGCAATAATTGTTGAAATAATTTTAATAATAAATTCTGTCTTTTCTGTTCTTGTAATATTAAATTCCCTGATTAGACAGTATGTCTTTTATACACGGTGTTCACGCGAACACAGCTAACAACGTTCTTCTTGCAAAATAGTTTTGTTACGTTCTATTTACTATTTTTTCCCAGCTCTGAAAATTGTTGCAACGACCTGGAAACCTATTCGGACTTGTGAAATAATTACTGTGCTTCGTTAACTTTTTCATGCTGCGAAAATAGCACGTTGCCGTTGAAGGATAAAGACATTTAACCGGCAGTTTGATAAGAAACCACTTACACCGATTTTTATCTTCTACTTTTACGCGTGGACAACGATGTAACATTTAAGTCGGAATTCTTTGCTTGGTGAATTCATATCGTTCAATATTAATGTTCTCGTTGAACCATTGTATTCGGTTGACCCATAAGTCATTGCGTTAGGTTGCAAAAGCTGCATCGCCATCTATTAGAAAAAAAACGCAATGACATAATCTTGATATATATAACAATATATTATAATATTATTTAATATTATTATACTATAATATTACAATATATTTCGGTCTATTTTTGTGTTACATAACTATGTCAACACCCGGAAAGGAATGATTCCTAAGGTCATTTGAAGCAACTTTCTCCTTTACAAAAATTTTCTTCGAGGCTTCGTTTACGAGTTATTAGCGAAAAACGGCGACCAATGAGAGGCGAGCTCGGCTGACGCTAGGCGGCCGGGCCAATCGACGGAACTGGGCTTGGCGCGCTCGTTGGCTCGGCCGTCTCGCGCCAGTCGAGCTCGCCTCTCATTGGTCAAGCGTCTTTCGTCGATAACTCGTGAACGAAGCCTCGGAGAAAATTTTTGTAAAGGAAAAAGTTGCTCCAAATGACCTCAGGAATCACCTCCTTCCGCGCGTTCACATAACTACGAGACACCCTGTATACATTGTATTATTCTTGAACCCCGTATCGTTGCTCGTGCTGCAAGCAGAGGAACGAAAATAAAATCTTATCCGCGCGAGGCCGGCGATGCTTCCGGCGACAATGGGGAGTGCCAGTTCCAACACATTTCATCTAATATTGACCATGACATTAACGTGACATACCGGGAAACCTCTGGCGAGCGGCACCTCCACGATCAACGGCGAGGTTCATTCATTGTGTTTGCAAGCTACATAGAGGGCGATGACGAAGTATCAGCGCGGATTAGAGGTACGTTTACATTGCGGCGTGTTGCATGTGCGTCTACAAGAAGATGCGAAGTCAATTTTGTGATCGTTTCGCGACTGGCTTTTGCTATTGCGGCCACGAAAACTGGCGTAATGATAAAATAAAATGTAATATAATAATTAAATATAAATATTAAATATTGAATAAGAAAGGAATAAATGATGAATATTAAATATTATAATAATAAATATTAAATATTGAATAAAAAAGGAATATACGATGAATATTAAATGAATATTAAATAGTATAATAAGAAATATTAAATATAATAATTAAAATACAATTAGATTTATTATAACAATAGAGATAATAATAATAATAGAGATTTATTACGCCCCTTAGTCGTTGAGAGATTTAATTGTACGAATTAAGTTATATTTTGTACAAATCAAGATTTATTACTACAAATTAAGATGTTTGAATGGTTTCAGTTTCCTTGATTTTTATACAAATTTCATTTTATACATTTTTATACAAATTCAGTCTTATAGATTTTTATGCAAATTTAATTCTATGCAAATCTTTGAACTACTGCGTAGAACTTGTTTGAAATTAAATATAAATTAAAAATTAAACATAT